AGTTCGATACCGTTCCCCAGTGATGGTTTCGTTCGGTTTCAACAGCTCATAATAAATAACACCGTCCTGGTCCCACCAAATACACAGCAAAACCTTCGCAGCGTGAATATTCGGCCGAGCCGACGATGTAGAAGCATGACCGGGCAGTCCCTATGATTTTATTCTCTTTGGGTTGCTGTAATGAATCCATTTTTCATCACCCGTAACGATGCGATGAAGAAAACCCTTCCTTTTTTGCCGCTGGAGCAGTTGTTCACAGGCGAAAAAACGACGCTCAACGTCTCTTGGCTTCAAATCATAAGGAACCCAAGTTCCTTGTTTTTGAATCATTCCCAACGCATGCAATCACTTGGAAATGGCTTGGCGGGTAACTCCTAATGCTGAAGTAAGCTCTTTTTACGTTTGGCACGGATCCTCATCGAGCAATGCCTCCAATTCAGCGTCTTCGAAGGTTTTTGGCCTTCCTTCACGCGAACGGTCGTCAACATCGAAATCACCGTCTTTGAAGCGACGGAACCAATCACGGCACGTTGTTTCACTTAGAGCAGCATCTCCGTAAACTTTTTGAAGTTCTCGATGCGCTTCAGCTGCCGTTTTCTTCGAATGAAAGAAGAAAAGCAACACTTCCCGCAAATGACGATTATTTGGCACAAAATCAGACATTTTCACACAACCAAAAGTATATGACGCAAAAACAAAATCACTAATGTGTCAAAGCGGTTTGTTTACCATATGTCTAAGCTTGGTTGATGACGTTTTGGTTATGTCACAATCGACCAGCACTTACTGCGGGAGCCATCTCTTGAAAAACAGCGGGAACTTAGTTGCGCACCTAATAGAAAACGTGTTTTAGCTTTTTTTAATATCTCCCATAGTTTTCGAGATTTTTTACCTATTATGTTTGAAATTTAGCACCCTATATATTCAGGGTTGGGAAGTAACTGTAACGAAGTTATACAGTTACAGTTAATTTTTTTTGTTAACTATAACTTAACTTCATTCTGTTTTTTCCATCTATAACTGTAACTTAACTTAGTTACGTATAGTTATTCTGGCTGCATTTGGAAAACGCGCTATTGTATCATCTATTTTTATCATTCATTAGATATAAAACAAAAATAAAAAACGCAATAGCGCTGATAGTCTCCTTTCCGAACGCAACCTTATTTCTTTCAAAAAAATTGCACGCCTATTGAACATTTCCGTCGCGCGTCGCCTTCCTTATTTGTTAATATAATCTGCGCTCAGCGTGAAATGCGCTGTGTGGTTTCAGTTATATAAAAAATTCAAGCAATGGATAAAACATGTCAATCTTCGGAGAAAGATTGTAAAATGCTATGACCAGCATATGAAAAAAGATTCAAGTTACAGCAAAAATTTGGAAACGGGTACTGGGCATTTCTCTGCAAAATTTACGCTGGTAAAAAAATTATTCATGCATAAAACTTTAACTGCAAATTTAAGAAAAGATATGGGATATGTAAGTCTTTATTTATAAAATATCAATATATTTTTAATGTAAAATTCTAATTTATGATGTTAAAATTATTTTTAGGATTTATTATTTTCATAAAATCATGCACTTTCTTATAATTGTTATTATTAGTCTTAAAGAATAAATATGAATTGTTTATTTAAATTAATGAATCTAATTTGTAAAAATTATATACAATATGAGGAATATAATAATCAACAAACTACTTTTATATAAAATTGAAGGAATTTACCCAATTACGAAGTTTTAAATAATAGCACAATTATTGTAAAAAGGTAACTGAAAAATAACGACTCGTTACTTTGTAAATAACTACAACTGTAACATGTTATTTTTGAAGGTCAATAATTTGCAACTGTAACTAGTTACTTTTTCAGTGAAAAAAACTGTACTGTAAAAAAGACTTGTAACTGTAACTACATACGTTTATAAAATAACTTTCCCAACCTTGTCTATAAAATATCGTTGGAAAAGTCATACTTTTAACGATTACTTAATAAAATGAATATATCGTTTTTATTAGAATTATTCGGATCACTTTTTTATCATAAAATCCATCAAAACTTTTGCATTTATCCAATAGAATTTGCATTAAAATTTTATCTAACATCCGCAATTTTCTTCTCAATATGAACAATCTCGATGATAACATGAGAAAGAACGAAATGAAAGTATCGAAATTTGAAATTTGTTGAAAACATGATTCAGCTACGGTCGCTTGCAATTAATATTTCTTTCGAGAATTCATTCGCAAATTACTTGCCAATGTGTGGAAGAACTTCTGTCTGTTCATAATAGTTCGCTCTGGCATACTTCCCTCCTAGCTTTCAGACGTAATTTGCGGCAAATTAACCGAAGAATCGGAACTCATGATTTATTTGCGCGTTTGCCTCACCAAAAGAAGTTCTGTCTTCTTTGATTATTCATAATTTTAGAATTATGTTTCTTGATACTTCCTTTCGAAAGTTTAATCAAAGATCTTCTAAATGAGAGAAGATAAGAAACACCTAGAACACCTTTTTCAACGCAGAAAAATCATAGAATATTATAAACTCGATAAAAGAAAGTCAACATTTAAATATTTTACATCTATTTTAATCTTTAAACATAATTAAAAAAAAATGCTCTACTTCATCAGACTTTAATCGAGGATTTGAATTGAAAATTAGCTATTATTGAAAATATTATCATCGAAGATACGTAAAAAAAACTTGTAACGTAAAACTTTGAAGAATATATGGGATCTAATACAATAATATAGAAAATTAAATAATGTTAATGACTAATCGTATGTTTTAACTTATAGAAGATAAACCGTGATGTGTTCTCAAATTCGTTTCTTTACGTATTCTGTTTCCTATTTTAATCTAAAGCCTGACATTAACCACTACATTCTTTTTATTTTATATTCTCATGAACTTCGTGAACTATAAAGGTTACATTACCTGATTTATCATCTATGTATATAAGATATCCTAGAATATCCTAGAATAGTTTCATCGTTTTCATCAATTTCTTTGGTTTTAAAGGCGGCTTAACTAAAATATCAAGGACGACTATATACTTATTCTTTCAATTATCATTGTACATCTCATAATCAAATTTTAAATAAAAATTCAAATCTCTCTTTCTCTTTTATCTTCTGAATTTCCAACGCTGCATATGCGGTAATTAAGTTCTCATTAAAAATTTTTGAATATAAGAAGTATTTCGACTAATCGAACAATATCAATGTGTCGTTTATTGTTTCTTTCGAAATTCAGTTTATCGAGAACTTGCTCTTCATAGCTAATCCTAAAAGACACGAAAACCATAAAGATGCACCGACATTTCTTTCAATGAATGATTGATACTAAACGTGCCTAGAGCCGTAGCAAGAGAAAATTTAATTTGAATTGTCGAGGTCAATAATAATTTAAATAAATCTAATAAATATCTGTCAAATTCATCGGTGAATTTATCACGGGAAGGGCATTACAAAGCAAATACTACAGCAACCCTAATTTATTAAAAAAAAAAAAAAAAGAAAAACATCATTAACGAAAAAAAAGGAAAAACATCATTGAACAACGATTTAAACTTTCGTAAGATAAATCGCTCATGATAATATTCCGATTAATTCGAGCAAGATGACATCTCACGATCGGTCGTGTGTGTATGTACACACACACACACACACACACACACACACACACACACACACACACACACACACACACACACACACACATACACACACACGCACACACACACACACACGCACGCACGCACACGCACGCACGCACATGCACGCACACGCACACACGCACACGCACTCACACACATATATGTATATACATAACACCACAATCCGTCGTATCACGTTCGTTTTTTAACACGGAGTCAGCAGTCAAACGACCAATAAAAGACATCTCTCGAATAGAAGAACTGAGAAATTGAAATAGCGAACGGTGACAACGTAGAGCGAAGACGAAGCGAATAAAAGCGGACGATCTTCCTCGATCGGGAAAAGGCGCTTTCAATCGAGAGAGCTGATCGACCGTTCGTTTTGACGTCTTTTCGCGATGTTATGGCATGTGAATGCAACGCGAACGTCGCGAGGCGACGTCAGTAGTAACCGGAGCACACTCAAGACAGCGGGGTATGCTCGTTCGCTCGTTCTTTCGGTCACCCTCGTTCACTCTGCGATCTCTCCTGTACGCATTAATTATCAGACGCCTACGAGCGGTGTACTTCCACGGTGACGATCCGCGCTGATCAAATTAATTACCGTACAGCAATATCCGTGCGCACGACAGAGACGTCACGCCAAGGCGGGAAGAGACAGAGAAAAGGAGAGACGCACGTTCCCGTGGACGATCTCCGTCTATGACGCCTTCGTGTCCGAAAGGCCACTGACAGAACTCGCGGTCTCTCGTTCTACGTACGCCTCACCTCTCTCCTCGTTGTACGCGAGAGGAACGCGCAATGTGGAAACGGGAGAGAGAGTGAGAGGCTCTATCGACCCGCGGCAGGGCCGGTCGAGGAAAGGGAACCTCGGTGACTCGACGGGAAAATCGACATCTCGCTTGACGGATGACAAATGCGACGGCTGCGAATGAGAAAAGCTTACGAAATATGACAAAAAGGAAATGAGACATATTGAATTACTGATGAAGAAAAATAATATGACAACAAGTTGTCGTCGCTTGTCGGCGCGTTATAGAATTCCGTATCGTTTCTCGACAAATTGTGTGTAACAAACGGGTACAAGTGTCATTGGTTTCCCAACTTCTTTTTTACATCACTATATTTTAATCAAAATGAATCAACATTATTAAATTAAATATATATAATACACTAACTTATATGAATCCTATAATTCTCATATAATGTTACAATATACATTCTCTCTCTCTCCCTCCCTCCCTGCTTCCCTCCCTCTCTCTCTCTCTTTCTCTCTCTCTCTGACTCTCTTTCTTTCTAACATTCAACTTATTGTTTTTGGTAGGAATAATTCTTAAAATATTTTATAAGCACGCATACGGTCATATATTCATCTACGCAATCGGACAATAAAGTACTTTACATCCATATACAAATATTACATACACGCTTTCTTTTATTAAATACATTCGCATTATATCGCCTATTTTATCATTATATGTACGAGTGCGCGCACGTGTACTTGTTTATCATATGAATGGATTATTATGCACTTTATATAAGTACTGAAACATACAAATGGACCATGGCAATCTCAGACGTGTCGTTTAAACTTTACTCGCAAATTAGAACTCACATCGCAATGATTATCACAATCAAAATGACTCAATTTTTTTAGGATGTCAGTTTCTCACGTTTTCTTTGCATGTATCTCCATTAAATATGTCTGTACTTTCTGGATACTGAAAATAACTGAAGTCAAAGAGGAACGTCACTAAGAATGTGTGTATTACTGAGGCTGAATATTTTGCAATCTGTATATTTAGCAGCAGTCTTTCTTAGCACTACGTGTATCAACACACTGTACAGTGTGTGCATTTAACTCTGCCAAACTATTATTCCAATCAGAATCGACAATACAACTGCCGCGATCAATATAAGGACGCACTTCTTCTTGCGTAATTTGGTTTGATAGATACTTGCTTGCCTCACTTGAGATGCACCCTCATTAACCGACACCTCGGTTCTCTCCACCGAAGCTTCTATAGAATCAATCACTTCTCCTTGATCGTACACTAAAGCTCCAAGATCTTTGAAGATTTGATTAATATCGCTAATGTTGCTCTGCAAAAGTAAAAAATATAACATTACAGCACCTGAATACACAAATTTGACAGTCTTTACCTCCAACTGCCTGATGCTAGCTTCTTGCTCTTCCAATAGACGCAAATTCAATTGCTCTTGCTGTTGATGTTGCATCATCTTCGGTTGTGTATTATCAGTTGTGTATGTTTTGCTATCTTGCAATTCTATGAGTGTCTCTTGTTTCTTTTCTCCAAACGGAGCAATACCTGCACTAGCTTTAGCCTTCCTGACCATTTCTTTCTCCTTAGAAGCAGCTAGCCTCTGTACAGCCTAAATTTACAAGTTGAAGTTCATATTTGAGATACTGTCGGTAAAAAGATATATTTTTCCTTACTTGAAAAGAATTTAATGCACTCGTAAATTCATCTTGAAGGCGTTCCTTTTGCATTTTGCGTTGTCTTTGTTCACCAGGGCTTGTAGAGCCAGAGTTATTCGCTAATATAGCCAAATCTCGCAAATGGACACTGGTATCTTTTGCTAACTGTTGTGTATAATGCTGTATCTGATGTCTGTAGTGACACAATTACACGTAATATCAATTAACATTTTCTTATATATCTCATTTTGTAAAACTTACAGCTGATTTCTCAATTCCTGAGAATCAGTAGAGCTGCCTAATTGATTGACCATTTTCTGCATAGAAGATACTGTAAAAAAATATCAAAATAAAGAAAAATTCTATCATTCTTATACTAGTTATAGTTCGATTAATCTAACAACTTACCATTCTGTGATACTTTTAATATCGAAGTACCTATAGTCTGGGATAATCTACCAAAATCTTGCTCCCTGGCAGGGCCACCATTATGATAGGATGAGAACCCAATATCCATCTTGAACAATCTATGTCAAGCTAGGTTATACAAATTCAATTTATTATACAAATACTTTATCGAACTGTTATTCATATATTTTTACTGGCATATCAAAATAAAATCCGAAATTTGAAGTCCACTGTTCATGTGTGATATTTAACAGTAAGAGTTTGTGAATCTATAAATGATGTATTTCCCACAAGCGGGCAAATTTATCCGGAACTATAACTATAATTATCGTGCATAACAAATTATCGAATACCTTTCAACATTATTTATAACGAAAATTAGGTGATGGCGATAACGAAATAAAAGAATTTACGTAAAACGTACCTCGCGCTGACACTTCGTCAAAGACGACAAGGTGTATCCTTATCACGGAATGATAATTTATTCTTAATATACGCAGTTATCAACAAAACGCCCAATAGGTCGATCTTTTTCGTGTAATAACTGATTGATGATTCACAAAATTAGCATGCGAGAAATTCCTACTTGTGAGTATTCTAGCAACATATATATGTGCACACAGCTCACGTCACTACGCGCAAAGAACTTCCGTCAACCGAGAAATCGCACGACAAACGCTAAAATTTTTTCGTGTTAATCAATAACGCTTCGCGAGACAGATACTTCGCTCTAATGATGCTACACAAACATGTATTAATTAAATGCTACGTCGAATAACTGAACTTGATTCTATTAACGTGCGTGTAAAAGAGATCCGTCCTCATTTCTATCTCTATACACCATATATCTGCTTAGTCTTCTTTGCTAAGGTTTCCTACCTTGTACGTTCGTTCGTTCGTTTGGTATGTGGCTTTAGGTAGTAAAGGCCATTGCACGTAACAAAATTTTAGTCGTAACCGTAAGACCGTAAGCAAATTGACCAATCACAATCCAGCATCTCGAAATATACGAATTGTGATTGGTCAATTTGCTTACGGACTTACGGTTACGACGAAAGGTCGTTCTACAATACGTGTTGTAAGTTGTAAGCCGTACGAATTGGCGAATCACAATCAATTATTATAAAAATAATCGGCCATAATTGGTCAGTTCTTACAGCTTACGACATGTATTGTAGAATGTCCTTAAAACTTTTGTACGTGCAATGGGCTTAAGGTGTACCCATACGCCATTCTCCTGAGCTGCGTTCCGATTCTCCACCTAGCGGGTGACCATTGAGTGGCTGGGTGGTGGGCGGAGCTTGACGAAAAGTCACATAGGCGGCGTTCCGTTTCACGCATATGCGCGCATTTATATATAGTTCATGTTACATATACTGTAGGAAATGCGCGCATAATGCGTGAAACGGAACTCAGTCCTAGAGTATTATTGGCCGCGTTCAGTATAGTGTCCCTAGAAGTAAGAGTCTGGCGAATGTTCTAGTTATACAACATGGCTGCTACACCTGTACTACACTTACTGTAGACGTGGTCTCAACGGGTGCACATGCATCTGACAATATATTCGCCGTAAGTCCAGCGAACCTTCTGTAATACGTGCGATATTAAAAGACAGTAAAAGAAATAGATGCTTGTAAGAAATGACGGGTTGTGCGATAGCAGGATGTAAAAACAGAAGCGAGGACGGTTTCTACATGAGACGATTCCCACAGGATAAGGAAATACAAAAACTGTGGTTATAACAAATCGGAAGAAACAATTGGAAACCGAAACGTTATACAGCAATTTGTGAGGTAAGTATGTAATAGTATGCAATAAGAATAATGTAATAAAAAATAGGCGATAAGAATAATCTAATATTATACAATAAGAATAATGAATAAAACGTGTTCCTTATTTTGTTGTTTTTATAGGCTCATTTTGCAGAAGAAATGTGGAAGAAAACACGACAGGACGGAAGTAAAAAATTAAAGATAAAAGCAATACCAACAATGTTTTCTGTATATAACGATAAACGTGAGGTAACCACTACAAGCATTATTACAATCCCTGCACAAAATAATTCATGTTTGTCGAGTATTGACATTCAAGATGTACATGACCAGGCGTACATTGCAATAATCATTTAGTATCAGCAAATAATATACAAAGTAAGTAGTAAAAAGTAAGTAATGTAATCCAATGAGAAAGTAAATAATAAAGTGATCATAAATGTGTTTTCACAGCTACATCATCAACACTACCTACATTAGACAGTGCTATGACACAAATATCATTATTACGAAGACAACTGCAACATAAGGAAAAAGAAGTACAACAAATGAAGCAAAAACTTTATGATGTCAATCAAGTACTTCGCAAATGTGACAAAACACAGAAGACTCTGATGAATCGTATTAGACGGCACAGAAGTACACATAGGCTGCGTGTAGAAAATAGTTTGTTACAGTCAAGACAGTTACTTCAAACAGTATTCAACTCTGATCAAATTCAGTGGCTGCAGTCGAAACCGAGCAGGCGACGTGCGTACAAGTGGTCCAAACCAACCATCAAAAAAGCGCTTAGGATACGATTCTCATGCACTAATAGTGGCTATCAAGAGCTAATCAAACAGAACATCCCATTGCCGTCAACGCGTACTTTAAGAGAAAGTCTTGAAGGTTTCAACTTTAGCCCGGGAATATTAAGTGACATTTTTTATGCCATGAAAGAAAAAGTGTTACAATTTGAAGATGACAGACAACGTGATTGCATCCTTGGTATTGATGAAATGTCTCTCACTCCTGGAGAACAACCCGATCCTTCTGCAACTTCCACTGTAGGATTGTCTACTATTCCCAACAATCATGGTAACTCATAAACATTTTAATGTTATTGTACAGGAAATTTCATTTATTCTGTTCAATGTAATAATTTTGTACTTTGTCTTATTAACTATACTAACTATTGTAACAGTTTTATTATTGGAAGGCTAATCCCTGGTAGCACATGTTCATTTCATATACGTTGTTTAGATGTATGTATATACTTATCAAAACATGAAGGATAAAGAAAAACTGGTTTTAAAGAAACCTGTGAGAAACTGGTTTGATCTATCAAGTGTAAAACATATTATTTACATTTCTATATATAGTTAGGAACTGTTTTATAACGTTTCTAAAACGGTATTTAAAACATAGCGTTTGTCGCAAAAACAACATTGCAGTAAACATTTATCGAATGGATTTATAAATAAATAAACTTATGAATGGAATTATGAATAAATATGTAAAACATATTGCCCTTTTCCGAAGTCTGTTTTTCATGAAGTGGTAATTCGGAATCTGCTAGTTTATTTATCTGTAATTGTTCTTATCATATTCAAATAGCAGAAATATTACAGTGAACAGAGTAAAAGCAATACTCTGTACAATTTCATTATCTTGAAGAGTATCCCAGTATTTCAATATAATCATGATAATATTTATAGTTTACTAGTATATAGTATATATGTATATACATTCTGTTTTGAAGGAGAAAAGTACAAGCTACGCATGGATTAGTTTTCATGCTCGGCGGTATATTGTGCCGATGGAAACAGGTTGTAGGTTATGAATTAACGCCTGCTGGATATGATGGTGCACATTTAAAACCTCTTATTGAAAACATTATTAAAGCAGCTGAAAATATAGGTCTGCGTGTGCAGAGCGCTATAACTGACATGGGAGGCATTATTCAAGCGATGTGGAGAAGTTTTTCTAACATTGGTGTTCATAGATATTCTGCTATATACAATTCTATACCATACCCAGTAGATTGTAATCGCAAATTATTTTTCTTTGCGGATGGACCACATCTTCTGAAAAACCTTAGAGCCGCTATTATCAATAATAAGCTCATTGCGTTGCCACAAACATTTACTAAAACGCGTCAACTATCATCTCATATTGTCACAGTTTCACATTTAGAAGAATTAGTGAAGGAACAAGAGAATTTAGATTTAAAACTAATCCCAAAATTAAACAAAGATAGTATTACCGTTACACGCTTTAATAAAATGAGAGTAAACAAAGCCATACATATTTAATAATGATGTGAGTGGTACGCTTCATTTGTTAAGTGAAGAACAAAATTATACAGAATATTCTACAACAGCAACATTCATTGATATTGTTAGTAAATGGTTTCATCTCATTACTTCTCGTCATACGGTACTTGTCCTTGGAAACAAATCTACAGATAGAAAGAATACTGAAACGTATAAAACAACCGTCGAATTTTTTTAATCGTGCATTGAGTTATTTCGGGACATGCGGGTCGGAAATAAAGGTGTATTTAAACTAGTCCAAACTGGCCTTATGATCGCAACAAAATTTTTATAGAATTAGCCGATTTTTTGATTAAAGAACGGGGTTTTTTGTGTTAGGAGCACGATTTTCTAATGATTTTGTAGAAAATCTCTTCTCAAATGTTAGAAAAAAATTTCCGATTCCCAATGCGTTGCAATTTCAGTATAGTTTAAAACATATTACTGTTTCTCAATATTTACAGGCCTTACCAAATACTAATTATGCAGTAGATAGTGGTGATTTATTAGCTGATTTTTTATAACGTCCTAAAAAAATATTTAATAAACAAGCTGAAGAAATGTGTGTTGCACCTAATGTTGAAAGTAAAATAATACAGTTGAATAATCTAGAATTAAATTCACTGTATTATGGATATATCATATCAAGTATCTGTAAAAGTCAAAACATTTGCGATAAATGTATTGCTTCCGCTGGATCTAAAACATATGATCCTAAAATACAATTTTCGCGACTAGTTAGTCTTAAATGTTACCGCGCAAAAACATTATTTTTTGTAAATAATACAACATTCAATTATTTTCTAAACATGAATAATGTTATCACAAGTTACTTACCGCATGTTAAGCAAATTCAATATAGCAATTTCAATATAGTTACTTTTTTTCTAGACAAAATGAAACATTCAATGTATGTCATTAGAAACATGTCATAATTTACAATACAAAATAAAAATCCGTTTTATTAAATTTAAACTCCGCAAAAGTTGTTACACCAGTAAAATAAAAACACCTATTTATGACAGCAAAACTATGGCTATGTACGTTTCAATAAAATAAATATGTTTGAATATATGTATTATTATAATGTAATAATGGTAACATTTAATAAAATATTACATGTAAAAATTTATTTGACGTTTCTTTTTCTTGTTACTGCTATTCAAATATTACGCGTGCCTACATATCCCTGATTGGTGCCGCCATTCTGTATCCAGCCAATCAAAAATGGGACCACATTCGCCAGACTTTTACTTCTAGGGACACTAGTTCAGTAGAACAAAAGGTTTGTTTTCTTTGCCTACACTTTTTACACTTTTACACTAAGTGTACACTAACTCGTTCGTTTTGTCGGAAGTGTAGCAAGAATTACTGGAGCGCTATTCTGTACATGTCTACCGACAATTGTCGGTATCGGTCGTTACCGACGAACGTCGGTTGCGTGACCGACAAGAACGATGCACACCTATTCTCTACATGGACACTACCGACAATCATCGGTGCAACCGACGAATTTCAATCGTCGGTTGACGTCACAAATGGTCGAGAGACAGTCACAGACAAAAGTGAAAATACATCGTAATTCGACCAATCGCGTAACGAGTCTATGAGAAAGTCCGCAATTTTCAAGTTTTACAAACATAACCGTATTCATAGAGTTATGTAGAAAAAGAGAAGATACAAGAGAAAGCATCATGTCAGAGAGTAGAAGTAGGTATGTATATATATTTTTAATGCTATTTATATATATATATATATATATGCTGTGTGGGTAAATATTACATTATTATATATATATATATATTAGGTGCGCAACTAAGTTCCCGCTGTTTTTCAAGAGATGGCTCCCGCAGTAAGTGCTGGTCGATTGTGACATAACCAAAACGTCATCAACCAAGCTTAGACATATGGTAAACAAACCGCTTTGACACATTAGTGATTTTGTTTTTGCGTCATATACTTTTGGTTGTGTGAAAATGTCTGATTTTGTGCCAAATAATCGTCATTTGCGGGAAGTGTTGCTTTTCTTCTTTCATTCGAAGAAAACGGCAGCTGAAGCGCATCGAGAACTTCAAAAAGTTTACGGAGATGCTGCTCTAAGTGAAACAACGTGCCGTGATTGGTTCCGTCGCTTCAAAGACGGTGATTTCGATGTTGACGACCGTTCGCGTGAAGGAAGGCCAAAAACCTTCGAAGACGCTGAATTGGAGGCATTGCTCGATGAGGATCCGTGCCAAACGTAAAAAGAGCTTACTTCAGCATTAGGAGTTACCCGCCAAGCCATTTCCAAGTGATTGCATGCGTTGGGAATGATTCAAAAACAAGGAACTTGGGTTCCTTATGATTTGAAGCCAAGAGACGTTGAGCGTCGTTTTTTCGCCTGTGAACAACTGCTCCAGCGGCAAAAAAGGAAGGGTTTTCTTCATCGCATCGTTACGGGTGATGAAAAATGGATTCATTACAGCAACCCAAAGAGAATAAAATCATAGGGACTGCCCGGTCATGCTTCTACATCGTCGGCTCGGCCGAATATTCACGCTGCGAAGGTTTTGCTGTGTATTTGGTGGGACCAGGACGGTGTTATTTATTATGAGCTGTTGAAACCGAACGAAACCATCACTGGGGAACGGTATCGAACTCAATTGATGCGATTGAGCCGAGCACTGCGCGAAAAGCGGCCACAATACGAGCAGAGGCACGAAAAAGTGATTCTACAGCATGACAACGCTCGGCCTCACGTTGCCAAACCCGTTAAAACCTACTTAGAAACGCTCAAATGGGAAGTCCTACCACACCCGCCATATTCCCCAGATATTGCGCCGTCCGATTATTACTTGTTCCGTTCGATGGTACATGGTCTGGCTAATCAGCAGTTCCGTTCATATGAAGACATCTCAAAATGGCTTGATTCGTGGATAGCCTCAAAAGACGAACACTTCTACCGTGACGGTATTCGAGCTCTGCCAGAAAGATGGGAAAAAGTTGTCGCTAGCGATGGGCAATATTTTGAATGATTCATTTGTAACCATTTTTTCACAATAAAGTTGCATTTTCATCAAAAAAACAGCGAGAACTTAGTTGCGCACCTAATATATATACACATAATGTAATATTTATCTACACAGCACAAAATATCCAAAGGACGTACGTAGGACATAGGGACATCCTTAGAATCTCCTTACGACGTCCCCTAAACATCTGTGCTGTGTGGGTATACTAATAAATACTATTCGATAACTTAATAAGAGAATTGTACTATCAATAAACAGTAATATTTTTTGTAGTACTGTTAAAAAGCAACGTTCTTCGCGTGCATCAACATTGCAAATTGAAGATTTGGTATCCTATATGGAAAAGCATAGCCGTTTCACTGCCGGCCGGTTTAATGGAAATGAGGGGAAACTGCAACTGCAGATGCAGTGGGATGAACTGTGTAAAAGGTTAAATTCTCTACCCGGGCCAAAGAAGTCGCGGGTCAAGCAGTGGCAAACTGTAAGATATACGAAGGTGATCCGATAAGTACTTAGCCTACAAAAGAAAAACGAAAATTTTGGAAAAGTGGCGATTTATTTCTCAACATAGTCTCCTTTTAGCTCGATACACTTGACCCAGCGATGCTCCAACTTCTTTAACCCGTCTGAAAAATACGTTTTCTCGAGGTCTGCAAAGTAGGCCTCCGTGGCGGCGATGACCTCCTCATTCGACTCAAATTTCTGCCCGGCGAGTGACTTTTTCAAGTTTGAAAACAAAAAGAAGTCGCACGGGGCCAAATCTGGAGAATACGGTGGATGGGGCAGCAGTTCGTAGCCCAATCGACCAATTTGACCGTGGCGAGGGCGGAGGTGTGAGCCAGTGCGTTGTCATGGTGGAAGAGCACTTTTTTCTTCGCCAAATGGGGCCGTTTTTTCTGCAATTCGACGTCGAATCGGCCCAATAATTCGGCATAGTATAGCCCTGTGACCATTTTGCTCTTCTCCAGGTAGTCGATGTAGATCACACCTTGTGAATCCTAAAAAACGGTGGCCATCACCTTTCCGGCCGATAGGACAGTCTTCGCCTTCTTCGGAGCACGTTCGCCGGGTGAAGTCCACTGTTTCGACAGTTCCTTGGTCTCTGGTGTGTACCAGTGGATCCATGTTTCGTCGACGGTCACGAAACGACGCAGAAACTCCTTCGGATTGCGCTTAAACAGCGTCAAACACTGCTCTGAAGTAGTCTCACGGTTGCGCTTGTTGTCCGGAGTGAGCAAACGCGGCACCCATCGCGCCGACAGCTTTCTCAAGCCCAAAATTTCATGCAGGATATGACCCACGCGGTCTTTTGAAATGCCTACTGTCTCAGCTATCTCGCGCACCTTCAATCGGCGGTCTGCCAATACGAGATCGTGGATTTTTGTCATGTTATCTTCCGTGGTAGCCGTTTTCGGGGCACCTGGGCATGGCTCATCAAACACCGACGTGCGACCACGTTGAAACTCGTTAAACCAATTTTTGACGGTCACCATCGAAGGAGAAGAGTCACCGTACACAGCATCCAAGCGCTCTTTGATTTCGCTGCGCGATTTCCCTTCCAAAAACAAGAATCGAATCACCGACCGATATTGCTCTTTTTCCATTTTCTAAAATCCGCGGACACGCCCGCTTCCACACGCGGTCAAAACAAAACTACGAGTCCGATTCGACTGAAATTTCGACAGTAGCCGTCTACGAGAATGTACTACACGATAGTAAATTTCTCTTGCGATAGTGGCGCCATCGGGCGGTGAGGCTAAGTACTTATCGGACCGCCCTCGTATTTTAAGCTATTTACACAATATATGTTCCAGACATTTTTACCAAGAGCAAACAAATATGATGCAAATGCGATAAGCTATATATAAGTAATTGAGATTTTTTAAATTACTTTCCCACCTTGATTTCCGGACATGTGTATATTTCGTAGTAAATCCCAGTATCTTGATACATGTTAAATAAATTTTATGTAATGTTTTCCCTTATTCAGCTGACATTCTAATATCAATGTTATATAATTGCTTTTCTGTTATATGACTAGTTTACTGGGATACATTTGATTGGGATTTGCATATTACATTATTATATTTAATATATTTAGGTATGGCAGGATCTGAAGAGCGTTTCTTCGAGGCAAGCAAGCAAGTTAAGAGCTGAGCGCTTACGCACAGGCAATTTTCCAGCTGAAGAAGCCCCATTGCAGAATATTGAACAACGCGTAGTGTCTGTAATTGGTTTAGATTATGTTGAGGAAAATGCGCATTGTCCTGATAGTTGCGTGGAAGAAGATGTACGTATATATGTTCAATGTATCTCTTTAACCATTTAAAATAATTATAATACGTACATAAAGAAACAATTTACGTTATAATAATTGTTTGTTGTAGGAAAATATTGAACGACTTGAGATGGATGACGAAGATCCCCTTTATCAAATCCCACAGACGTTAACTTTGCGAGATACTATCTTCGCAAACGAGGAAAGATTGAAAGAGAAATTTCCCAGCATTGTTGATGGTAATATCAATTGAAATTAATAAAGTGGAGACATTATATACACTCAAACGCAAAAAACCCGGTACACTAAAAATTTGGGAAAAAATTACAAAATTTCAAATGATCATAACTTGATAAATAATGAAGATACAAATATGCGCAGAAATGCAAAATGAAGCTTGAAACGTCCTCTTTAAGAATATCTGAATGGCAATTATGCTCGGCCATTTTTCAAAATGGCGAATGATAAAGTGAGAGGATGCAAAATTGATAATCAAAGGTCCGTGTTTGCGATGGTGCATGGTGTACTTCAGGTATCGCAGCGTAATGGGACCAAATGCACATGAAAGTATAGAGTGTTATCTTTAAAATGCTACTTTACCGAGCTCGATGTGATCATTTTTCACTGAGTTGTTCCAAATTTTGCTAAAAATGCGGTTTTCTTGTTAAATTTGCATAATTCAGTGAATAAGTATCGCATCAAGCTCTATAACGAAGTATTTTAAAGAAAACATTCTATACTTTTAGGTACTTTTCGTCCCATTGAGCTGCGACACTTACTTTGCTCCATGCGCCGTCGCACGCTCGAACCTTTTTTTAGCAACTTTTCATGTTCTCCTTTTTATCGCCCGCCATTTTGAAAAAATATCGTCGCGCACAATTTCGATAGATCTTTCGAAAAGTACGGTTTCAAAGCTTTCAAACCGTTTTTGAAATTTGCTGCTAGGATATTTAGGTGTCGAGATATTCAATTTCGAATTTGCAACAAATGTCGATTCAGCGAGGCTTAAGGGGCTAAGAGGCTCTGCGGTTCGTTTGGCTCTTTCATAATTTCAATAGCTGTGTTCATGTTTCTCTATATAATAATTTACATAACCTGCACAATATATTCAATGATTTGCATTTATTATTTTGAAAGCCAGGGAAATGAAAGTAAAATTCAATTTAGGTTCTTCATTTTGCGTAATCGATATTACGTAATAAAGATGAATTGCGTTTTAAGATACCGCTGTCATTAGCTCAAATTACGGTTGTAAGTCTTCCCAATATAAACCGCATGGAGTTTTACTGGTAGGAAAAGTCCCATTGTATGTAGTGTGTGTGTATGTGTGTGTGTGTGTGTGTGTGTGTGTGTGTGTGTGTGTGTGTGTGTGTGTGTGTATGTGTGTGTGTTTGTATACCACAAGGATAAGGACCCCGTGGTTCGTCAGCTCCACAGTATTTCAAGATTTCACACCCTCCTTGTTGTGTGTGTGTGTGTGTGTGTGTGTGTGTGTGTGTGGTGTTACAGCAGAGATAAGGACCCCGCAGTTCGTCACTCCTGCAGTAATTAATGACTCCAAACCCTCTCTGCTGTGTGTGTGGTGTGTGTGTACTAATAGTGGGTATGACTGCCTCGTGCGCGATTACCTCATTCATACGATCAGGCATACTCCTTATTAGTCTTTTAATTTCATCCTGCGTAATTGTATTCCATTCGTTTTCGAGAATTATTCGCAGTTCTCGCAGTGACTGAGGAGCAGGTACGTGATTTCGTACTTTCCTGCCGAGGTTGTCCCATAAGTGTTCGATTGGATTTAAATCTGGACTATTTGCTGGCCAATCGAGTCGATTTATGCCAACTTCATCGAAGAAATCAAGCACTCTTCTCGCAGTATGTGGTCGAGCATTGTCTTGCATAAACAAGAAGTTCTCTCCGATGAAGGGTGCGTATGGAACAACATACGGAATGAGTATGTCTTCCACCTATACATCTGCGTTCATATTCTTGTCAAAAAAGTACAGATCTGTATGAGCATTAGCTGAAATTCCTGCCCAAATCATTACAGAGCCTCCATTGTAGCTATGCCTCTCACTTACCGTACAGTCTGCAAATCGTTCTCCACCGCGACGATAAACTCGTTCTCGTCCATCTGGAGAATAGACACAAAAACGAGATTCATCGCTAAAGAGTACTTTGCTCCAGTCTGCGTAAGTCCAGTCTCTATGCTCAACTGCAAAATTGAGTCGAGCTACGCGATGGTGACATTTAAGCAAAGGTACAGCTGCTGGCCTGCGCAAAAGCAGATTTTGTTCCTTTAATCTTCTCCGAACGGTGTTAACGGATACATTAATGTTGCGGACATCCCTTAAATTGTTTCTAATTTGAACAGATGTTCGATGTCTGTCTCTTAACGAATTTGAAACAATAAATCGGTCATCATTGTGATTGGTACATCGAGGACGTCCCGAACCAGGCCTTCTATGGAAAGAATTGGTTTGTATGTACCTGGCATAAGCACGTTGCACAGTTGACACTGACAAATCAAGTGCCTGAGCAACGTACCTTCGACTTCTGCCATCTTCAATTAAAGCAATAACTTGAGCAGCCTTTTCAGGATTTATCGTCGCCATAATCGACGCAATAATTTCGATGCGAAACAATCAATAATGGTTTAAATTGATGAAGTTGCACGAAGCAACGCGCCTCGAAAGGAAAAGATCACGGAAAAAGAAAAGTCGCACGAGGCAGCGCTTATCGGAGTGAACACGTTCGGAAAAGGAAAATTGTTTGTCTTTGTTTATTGTCTTGGCACATACATTTAAGAAAAATCCTGTCAAGCCAGGCGCTAAAGCCCGGCGCACCGACAGAATCTCAGTCAAGCCAGAACGTAAGCCCGGCGTACTGACAAACTCGCGAAGTCCAGCGTACAAGAGTTAGTGCCACTATCGGCGGTGGACCGTACGAAGGCCAAAAGCTGTACGAAGGCAATCTCTGATCGTTTCCGCGGGCACTCTTATATGCCCTGGGTAGCTCGAACTCGCGTGCGAGCCGAGGGGCTCGCGCGCGCGACAACCCAGATCGCCGCGTTGCGGCGGCTCCGTGGACTAGGAGTGCCAGGGAATTTCGACGTTCAGGTGGCATCCAGCGACTCGGCATCCCGCGCGCCGGGTTACCGCGAACTCAGGCGCGATCCTGAACAGCATATTCAAGCTGTGTACCATAATGGCCAATCGTACGGAGAAGGTAGAGAGTTAGGGACAGCTTCGCGAACTAAAGTGTATACCACAGTGATCATGCGTAACTGAAGGGTAAAGAATGATAACTTTTGATAAAAATTAAATTTCCAATTCGCAAAATTGTGTAAATTATTGTATAGAGAATAATGAACGCGGCTATTGAAATTATGAAACAGCCAAACGAACCGCAGAGCCTCTTAGCCCCTTAAGCCTCGCTGAATCGACATTTGTTGCAAATTCGAAATTGAATATCTTGACACCTAAATATCCTAGCAGCAAATTTCAAAAACGGTTTGAAAGCTTTGAAACCGTACTTTTCGAAAGATCTATCGAAATTGTGCGCAACAATATTTTTTCAAAATGGCGGATGATGAAAAGGAGAACATGAAAAGTTGCTAAAAAAAGGTTCGAGCGTGCGACGGCGTATGGAGCAAAGTAAGTGTCGCAGCTCAATGGGACGAAAAGTACCTAAAAGTATAGAATGTTTTCTTTAAAATACTTCGTTATAGAGCTTGATGCGATACTTATTCACTGAATTATGCAAATTTAACAAGAAAACCGCATTTTTAGCAAAATTTGGAACAACTCATAAGGGACATTCGGCAACGCGGAAATTCAAAAAAATCTGAAACTCTGCATAATTGTAGAGCAGATATACCTAATAACAAAACAATTTTTCGTTGGTGCCCAAAAACGGTTTTAAGGGTGGAAACAACCCCTTGAACAAAGTTGATTTTTGTCTTTCTAAGCGAATATGATCGAAACTATTAAAGATATGAAAAAATGTTTTAGACAAAAGTTTTATGGTTTTAAAAGTACTTTATTATGCTATATTTAGATTTTTAAAAAATGTAAAATTGTGTATAAAATACCCCCCCTCCTTCTCTTTTTTCAAATTGTTAAAATCAATTGTCCAACCAAAATAAAGCTTATTTTATGACAAATTCAACCATATATAATAACATTATGTTTGGAAAAGGCAATATTGAAAAAAAAATTAAACATGCTCTTATATGTATGCTACGCGTACCAAACTTAAGGATTCGCTACTTGACGATGGCATTTCTTTCTTCCTCAAATCTTCCTCATAATTGCAAACTGTAAAAGATAAGGAAGGAAGAAAATAGAAAATCTAAAAAAGCAATAAAGTTGATGTTAAGAAGTAAGTTGAAGAAGAACAGCATGATAAGGAGGACGCAGAGAGAGTGTATATAACCCTAATATAGATAATCTTTTAAATTCAATTGTAAAGAACAAATAAGGAAATGAATGATATGAAGAAAAAAGGAGAACATACACGGATTTAATAATGAAAAATATAATTTATAAATTTATTCAGTGTACATTTGTGTGTATATGTTTTGCTTCATTCAGTATATAGGTTTTATTAATTAAGTAGTCGATATAGATATTCGAGTGAAAGATATCTTATATTTTGGTATGGATTATAATATATACAAATTTTACAGGAATTGAGGACAGTAAAATATTATTTATTCTATATAATTATTACAATAATGATATTGCTCAAAGAAATGTTCAAAACAAAAATATTGCTTGCACCATGCACAACGTATAAAAGCCATTTTACCACAAATGCTACATTTTGGTATACGTTTTTCTTCTTTAAAATAACAATAATCGATTGGATTATGAAATTTTTCAGGCCGTGTTGATAAATAACCACTTTTATACCAGCTATATCTAAATAAATTTCGAAATCTTGGAGAAGACAGTTGATTGTGTGTTAAAGATTGCAATTTTATTATGTTATTACGTAAATGTAAATTTATGTCATAATTATTTGTAATAACACTATCAGAAAAGCTTCGAACAAAATTTTTCCAGATTCTGAAACCAAAAACATCTAATGGCTGTATAAAAGCAGTTGTTTTTTTTGGTATTGTTAGAATATTTACATGTTTGTCTTTTGGTACAAGTTCTTCCAATTGGTTCGGGCAATGTCCTGTCCATGAATCAAGCAGTAGTATACTTTTCTCTCCAGTGTTTGGTAGATACACTTCTTGGAACCAATTTTTGAAATGTTCAGTTGTCAATTTCCCTGATTTTGAAGCCGCAATGTAAATATTCACTGGTCTAAAAAGAGTTTGTTCTACTTGTGGTCCAAAAACACTAGTAGATTCTTTTAATACTATATACAAAGGCGAAAAGAGATGTCCATCTGCAGATATAATAGGCATAATGGTGTAGCTATGAGTCATAGCAGATAAAGATTGGATAGTAGCTCCAACTGTCTTCACTCCTACATTAGCTAATGTTCTTCCTGCATGTATTTCTAAATTAAAGCCACTTTCGTCCGCATTATAAGTTGATTCAGCACCGATTACATTAATATGTGGCTTTACTGTATTTACAAATTCCTCAGCGTTTTGACGTATAGTTAGATCAGTTAAATGAGAAGACCGCGTTTTAAATGCAGTTATTTTGCGTAATGTAATACGATGTGCCTTTTTAAAATTCCATATCCACCAATTTCCTGCTTTAAATGAAGAAAAATCCACTTGTTCCTTTGCTTCTAGTGCCCATTTTCGCAGATTTATCATGAATATCATGAATAATAAGTCCTCTATTAACAGCTTCTTGGAATTTTATAAGAACATATTCAGCAATAACTACAAGTTTGTCTGTATTTGAACCCCCACGCATTACATGTTCTTGCCATCTGTGCAATTGTTGAATAGATTTTACCTAGAAGAAAACAAATCTCAATATTAAACAATTCGAATTCAAAAATAAAAGAAGTTATATACGAATTAAATGTTCACGAAACATCAAATTGTAAAACTTGAAATAAAAAACAACGCGACTCTAACTATATAATTTACAGCTTTGGTCATAAGTATAAAGCATCTCTAACTCATTGTATTTTCCTAGAAATCAATGCATATACTCATAGTAAATATATAATCTCTTTACAATAAATATTATATTAATATTTTATAATATAATGTGTATATTATATTTATGTATATTATATTTATATTATAATTTATATTATATTAATATTATATTATATTATATTACAATAAATATTGTAAAATAAATATTATTTTCCACATATTCTTATATTATATTTTTTTATTATATTATTTTTCCATATACTCGTATACTATATTATGTTCTCCATATATTCATATAGTATGTTTTTGTTACACAATTTAAATAAATTTTTTGGGATGCTTTATACTTATAGTCAAAGCTGTATGTACAATGACCGACAATGATGCGTTCCGTGAGAGGGGAAATAGAGTTCTCTCTGTCGCGGAACGAATCACTGCCGGTCACTGTACACCGTAAAAGCCTCAAATATTTTACTATATATTATTCTTCTTATTTTTTAATTAAACTTTACTTTTCTAAAACGATGTTGTACAGAAGTAAGAGACAAATGTCCTTTCTTTCCACTCTTCCAAAATTCGATTGCCTTTTTCTTATAATTTAAGTTTACATTTCCACCTTCATCATCCACAGTGCAAACTTCATTTCCATAATTATCTTCTTCAGCATCAATATCGTACACATCTACAAATTGTACGTCATGCGGTTCTGATGGATCGTCAAAATTAAGTCCCCACTCATGTTCGATCGTAATATCGTGATGTATAGCACTCTTTATTAAATCAGTAATTGTATCATGGAGTTCCACCTCTTGATGATTAACAGGAGTTATTGCAATATTTGTGAAATGAAATGTCGCAATTAACAAATTAATAACATTAGCTGGATTTATTACTGACATTATGATACAAATCTTAAGGATATTTTAATTAAACATTTCTCACAGCAATAATAATATACGTACTGCTTCAATAACTGCTTCAATAACACTGAAATGTATTCCAAAATGGACAGCTTTTATATGCAAATGAATGAAGATAACATATGTCAATATAATGAACCTTGATTGCACTGTACTTGATAAAGAGTGCTATTTTGGTCGCACAGTCATAAAACTTGTGACAAGTGTTTTGCATGTTGCCATGATGTACACACACGTGCGCACGTACAAAAACACACATACACACACACACATATTTATTTATATTTACGCGTGTCGTTTAAATTAATGAAAAAGGTAGCCGCAATGTTGGCAAAATAAACGTCTATTACGTGAAATTTTATAATTTATAACATTTTTAAATATTAGTGACTGTATCCTTATCATGCTATTTTTCTCCTACTTACTTCTTAACATCAACTTTATTGCTTTTTTAGATTTTCTATTTTCTTCCTTCCTTATCTTTTACAGTTTGCAATTATGAGGAAGATTTGAGGAAGAAAGAAATGCCATCGTCAAGTAGCGAATCCTTAAGTTTGGTACGCGTAGCATACATATAAGAGCATGTTTAATTTTTTTTTCAATATTGCCTTTTCCAAACATAATGTTATTATATATGGTTGAATTTGTCATAAAATAAGCTTTATTTTGGTTGGACAATTGATTTTAACAATTTGAAAAAAGAGAAGGAGGGGGGGTATTTTATACACAATTTTACATTTTTTAAAAATCTAAATATAGCATAATAAAGTACTTTTAAAACCATAAAACTTTTGTCTAAAACATTTTTTCATATCTTTAATAGTTTCGATAATATTCGCTTAGAAAGACAAAAATCAACTTTGTTCAAGGGGTTGTTTCCACCCTTAAAACCGTTTTTGGGCATCAACGAAAAATTGTTTTGTTATTAGGTATATCTGCTCTACAATTATGCAGAGTTTCAGATTTTTTTGAATTTCCGCGTTGCCGAATGTCCCTTGTCAGTGAAAAATGATCACATCGAGCTCGGTAAAGTAGCATTTTAAAGATAACACTCTATACTTTCTTGTGCATTTGGTCCCATTACGCTGCGATACCTGATGTACACCATGGACCATCGCAAACACGGACCTTTGATTATCAATTTTGCATCCTCTCACTTTATCATCCGCCATTTTGAAAAAAATGGCCGAGCATAATTGCCATTCAGATATTCTTAAAGAGGACGTTTCAAGCTTCATTTTGCATTTCTGCGCATATTTGTATCTTCATTATTTACCAAGTTATGATCATTTGAAATTTTGTAATTTTTTCCCAAATTTTTAGTGTACCGGGTTTTTTGCGTTTGAATGTATTTTTAAAGAGATATTTAGTTAGATTTCTATCAGCATATAAATTATAATTATGTATTATTTTTATTTTTAAATAAAAACAGAGGAGCATTTGACATTACAAGATGTCGAAGAAGCCGTACTGGATTATCCAGATGCAGTCACAACTGTTGCAGCTGCAGTAGCAGTTGAAGCTGATTCCGAAACAAGAAGAAGTTTGCCAGTTTCTACAAAAAGGAAGCCAAATCCTAAAAAAAGAACAGCAGAGCTCGGTGTGCGGAAATCCATTATCACATGCCCTACAACTGACGCTGCTTCGAGCAATCGTAAGACTCATACATGAACGAAATTAAATTAATGTACAACGTTATTTGCGATATAATCTTTTATATAGGAAAAAACAGGCAACGTATGCAGTATGCAGCTTGAAAACACGCGTGAACAATTCACCAACATAGCACAAAGTAACGCCTCTGCATTGAAGGTAAAAAGAAATCCTATAAATAACTTGTTTACTTAATTATTTTTATATTTTTAGATATTAAAGAAAACTATATAGAAAAATATATACAAAATTTTATTATATTCATATTCATATAAGTGAGATGTTTAAAGAATGTGAAATTACTTGTAGCTGTTACTTAAAAATCGAGTATTATTTATTGTAATTAAGAGAATTCAATTATCTTTAATTTGTGAACCCTTTTTCAAGAATATTATGAATGATATGCCCAATTATGAATAACAATAGAACACAATAACTGAAATTAAAAACCGAATGAAAAGAGAATAATGAAGTGGGATATTAATGATTATAGATAAATACAATGTATTATTAACGAGGTTTCAGTAAAATGATGAAGAACATTTTTTGTTTTTAATTATAAAAATATAAAAACTAATTTCGTTGATAAAAACTATGCAAATTGTAAAGCTAAAAGTTTCCTGTTTAAGAATATTTTATATTGTCCATATTTTTGTCGAGATACTTTATTTACACTTATTTACATATTACCTGGATACCCAGTACAAATCTTCAAAGAACGTTCTAAGAACGTTCTAAGCACATTCATACATCCTAAGAACATTCTAAGAATATTTTCTGAAAATTTTGTGCTATCTGGGTATGTAGATAATATTAATTATTTATTAATAGTACATTAATATTATAGATAATAGCTGAATCTATTGAACGACTTGCGACGGTAGAAGAGAGAAGAGTCGCAATCGAAGAGAGAAGAACGAGGTCAGAAGAAATGTCTCTGCAGTTATTAAAAAATATATCAGAATATATAAAATATTTCTGTGAAAAATAAGAGGGTCTATCAGTTTTTACTGTATTTAATTCAATTTGTTTATTTTAGTTTATTGTATGCACTATGCTTACATACGTAAGCACGCACGCATGCACGTGCACACGCGCGCACACACACACATGTCATTATCTTATGTAATTATTTTTAAACGTGACTAAGAAAATAATTTATTTACAAGTACATAATATAAGTACATAATATAAAAGGTTACAATATAAATATTAAGTAATACAAAAAGTTTATATTGATAATAATTTGTAGTTTTTTATTGCAAAATCTTCTTATAGTCTACCGTATTGTTGAGCGATAAAACTGTCTTGGATATGTGTGGCAAGTGCACGACCTTGCAGAAACTCACCATGGTCTATTTCAACTGCAGGATTAGGCATATTAGCTACACGATGGGTTTCCACCTCTGCTGGGTTGACGTCTATATCATATATTCGATGGTGGATAACGCATATTGTGCAAAACCGCACAAGCGTTAACAATTCTTCCAGCTAATCCTTCGTACATTAGTTGCCTTTGCGCTGAAAGGCATCTAAATTCGCTCTTCAAAACTCCAAACAGGCGTTCTATACAAGAGCGGGTACTGCATAATTCTTCATTATAATTAAAACGTGGAGTTCCTGGCTGCTCGTGTTTCAATGGAGTCATTAACCACGGCTACAGTTCATACCCATCATCACCTGTGAAAATAACACTTCGATTTTACTTTACTTTAGATTCAGTTTACTTATTTTACATTTTCAATATGATGAATATATTTAATAAGCAGTTGTTTTAAATAATTATTTACAACCATTTTACATTTTACAAGTTTTTGAAGAAATATTTTACCTAGTATTTAATAAGAGAAAAATAATAGTATTACTAATAAGCCAAGTCTTGCGTTCTCCTTGCATATACCATCGTTCCATGACACGACGAACAGCACAATTTGCCCAAATATATGTATCATGTCGTGCCCCAGGATATCGAGCATTAATGTTTAGAATTTTTAAATCAGGGTCACAAATCTGCAAAAAAATATCATATATACATAAAATTAAAATTGTTGTTATCCCAATTTTAACATTTATACTATTTATTTATATATACCGCTTGAACATTGAGACAGTGATCACCCCAGTGATTGACGTAAGCTTCTTTGTGAAGTTGCGGTGCCAGAATCGATACATAAGTGCAATCTATTGCACCGATAGCACCTATAAACGGATGTTGTGCTGTGCGGAACTTTTCTCTTGCAGCTTGTCGATCCTCCGCTGTAATAGGAAATTTTACCTATGGTCATAGTAATAGGTCGTTTATTCCATTTGTCACGGCTGCTACACAACGGCTTACAGTCGATTGACTGACAGCCAGATTCCATTGTTCCTCAATGGCACCTTGGTAGCAGCCAACAGCATAAAATCTTAAAGCTGTTAATACCTATTAAACAATATTTGTTGAACATATAGAAATAATAGTAATAATTTCATATTAAATCACACACAAAATATATGTGCATATACTTGACGCTGTACTGAAATTCCATATGGCCGTAATCGTTGTAACTTTGGTCTTAAGATCTCTGCTAATTCCAACACAGTGTCAGGTGGCAAGCGAAATAAATTAATGAAAACGTTATCGTGTAACTCGAATGGATCATTAGTATCACGCCAGACTCTTCTTTCTATTCAACGTTGTAGCATTCTCACGGTGTAGGATTCTCAAGGTGTAAAAGATCCCACATGAAGTATTCAGCCATACTAAATTCATATTAAATATTATTGGATTTAACAATTATATTATTATATTATTGGATATAACATATCGTCGGCAAAATTAGAAAACCTAATTCTAATTTTTAACGAATTTGAGATTTTCATTTCATTCAACTTAATAAGATAAGTTGAATGAAATGAACCCAGCAAATACAATGTTGCATGTAACGTACATGTTAGTTGTAATTTCCTACTCAACAATATAACTGTTATAACACATGTGTTATATATCAGTTATATTATTGAGTAGGAAATTACAACTAATATGTACGTTACATGTAACATTGTGTTTGCTGGGAATATTTCAATTTCATAAAAAATTGGAGTTAGGAGGTTTTCTAATTTTGCCGATGATATAAATAAAACACTAGAGTAACGGTCCCAATTACTGCCAGTGTCCTAATTACTGCCATTTTCTTTAATTATAGTATTAAAATAAAAAATATGACAGCGTTATATATTTAAAATCTTGGTTTAATATTAAAATATTTTAAATATATCCCATTAAATCTACTAGGATATATTAATGTAACTATCCAGTTACAATGTTACATGTAACATTGTGTTTATTGGGTATAATGCTCATATTTTTTATTGTAATACTACAATTAAAGAAAATGGCAGTAATTGGGACACTGGCAGTAATTGACCGTTACCCTATAAGTATAGACAAATTTATTCTTTTCGACGTGTAAATGAGTTAAAAGAATTACGCAAAAAATGCGAAAGAAAAACTCTAATTAATATCACTTGTTAACCTTCAGTTCGTAGCGCTATTTTCGTCCTTAATATATTTTAGGACCTATATTTTTAACCTAACTCATGAACAATAATAGATTGTACATTCATTACTTAGGGTAAAAGGATAAGGTTTTGTACATATTATATACTATTGTAATACTATTTTTTATTTCCTGCTGCCGTGTAAAGACCGCAGTACGAATTGAAGGTTAACTCCACTGACTAAATTTTATGAGAATTTAATTAAATTTACTTACTTGCACATTTTTGGTTTACAATTTACAACACACACACACATCTTTTTTTTTGGTCACGCAGGGGAAATCCCTCATGGATACCCCCTCCCCTTGGGTGGGGAGGGGGACATGTCGGACTCTTACCGACTAAAACCCCTGCGGGATGTCTACCTGTCGGACCGTGAGGAGGGGAGTCAGGGGAACTACTCCCGTATTCCCTCCCTAACCCCCGGCCCCAGGGCTTCCTTCCGGGAGCCCCTCGCCACCTGTCTACCGCGCCCTGTTCCACGAAGGGAATCCAGGGCGCGGTCCCTGGCGGGGGTTACCCCCCGTCGGTTGGCCTTCTGGTGTCTCCTACCAAGGAGGGAGGGGACATCCACCCCCCTCCTTACTCCCCTCCCTGCTAGTCAGGGAGGGGAGGATCTGTAGGGGAGCGGGCCCGGCCCCAACCGGGGCACCGCTCCCTCCTGTCCTTACCTACCCGGTCGCTTGGGGGGGGGGGAAAGGCAGGGAAGGCGTCTCGCCGCCCCCCTACTCCCCCTTGCGGCCGGTGTCGGGCTCGGGGCGGCCGAGGGAGCTCCCGTCCCTCGCGAGTCTGGGAGCCCTCCTCGGCCGGCGCTGCCCCGAGCCCGTTGTCGCTCCCATCGTCCTCCTGGGGGCGTCTGCCGCCCGGAAGCTGCTCCCCGCAGCCCCGGTGCGGCCGACGCCCCCATTCGGCGGTCTCCTTCTGGGACATCACTTACAGAAGGAGACCGCCGCTGACCACACCTTCTCGGTCCCGCACATGGCTTTGACCATGTGCGGGAGCGAGAGCTCCCCCTCTTGGCACCCCACCGCCACGCAGAGGACACGGCGCTCCCCGGCCCATGCTGGGCACGTGACCAGGGTGTGGTGCGCCATGTCCTCCGGCGCGGGGCAGTGGTGGCATCGAGTGGTGAGCTCCCTCCTTATCCGGCACAGGTACCGACCGAAGCACCCGTGCCCGGTCAGCACCTGCGCCAGACGGAAGGATAGTCCACGTCCCCTCCTGCCTGTCAATTCGGACAGGCAGGGGCGGACAGCCGCTGCCGTCGCTGGCCCGGGACCCCCGGGGTCGGACAATAAGTCCTCCCACCTCTCCCGAGTCCGGGCCTCGGCGTGGAGCTTCAGACCCCTTAGGGCCCTGGCCGACATTCTTCCCTCCCTGTGAAGCTCCTTTACCCTCCAGAAAAGGAGATGCCGCTCCTCGGCTAGGAGCTCCACAGGGGGGACGCCGGCCAGGGTGGTCGCCGCCATGTACGACACGGTCCGGTACCCCCGAATCGCCCTGATGAGCACGGGCCTCAGGGCCTGCCGCAGTGCGCACTTGCCTCTGCGGCAGGCCCCCAGCTGTGGCGCCCAGATGGGCGCCCCGTACAGGGCGATCGAGAGCACCGCCGTGACGTACAGGCGGCGAGCCCTCCATCCTGGGCCCCCTTGGTTGCGCGTCAGGCTGGCCACCGCCAGACCTGCCTTGTGCACCCTGGGGGCCAGTTCCCCAAAGTGGGGTCCGAAGCTCCACCGGCTGTCCAGCGTCAGGCCGAGATATCTCATCGTCGGCCCGACGCGGACGTGGACTCCATCTACGAGTACCCGGGTCCCTGGCGGCATCCTCCGACTCCGACCGTGAAAGAACACGGCCTGTGTCTTTTGAGGCGCCACCTTGAGACCCAGGTCTCTGATGGTATTCACCACCGACACCAGTGCCGTCTCCGCTAGGAGGCGGGCTTCCCCCTAGCTCTCCCCCTCGGCTACCACTAACGTGTCGTCCGCATAGCAGACGACGTGGCAACCGGGGGGAAGCGGAGTGCGCAGCACCCAGTCGAACGCGATGTTCCATAGCAGGGGGCCGAGAACCGACCCCTGCGGAACACCGCGCTCCATAGCGCGCCGGCCTTGGACCCCGCCCTCCACCGGGAAGGCGAGGTCCCTGCCCCCGAAGTAGGCCGAAATTATTCGCCGGAGATAGGCGGGTACCCCATGGTGTTCGAGGGCCCGCCCAATCTCCGGCCAGGGCAGGGTGTTGAAGGCATTCGTCATGTCCAACGAAACCGCCAACAACACCCTGCCCTCTTCCTCCACAACCGCCTGGACCAGGTCCCGGAAGCATTGGATAGCATCCAACGTCGATCTTCCGGGCCTGAACCCGTATTGGCGGTCGTGGAGGACCAATTTGGCCCTCCTCCACTCTGGGGGGAATACCCCCTCCTTGAGGCACCCGCTGAATTCCCTGCGTGTGGCTTCGAACAGGTTTCCTTCGCCGAGGGCGAGGGCTCACGCTCGGCCAGGAATTCCGTCGGGGCCAGGGGGCTTTCCCCTTGGCCCCGAGCCTTTTCCTGGCCGCGGTGAGCTCCTCTGGACTCACCGCCAGACCCTCATCCCAATCACCCTCCCCCAATGGGGGGGTCGGGATCATGGGGGCCCCCTTCTGCCCTCGGAAAGAGGGCGTCCATGAACCCTTCGAGGGTCTGGCGGTCCAACATCTCCGTTGGTGGGGGCGCCCATGGACGGATCTTTCCCATGACCCTTTTGTATGGGCGCCCCCACGGATCGTCGTCCAGGGAGCTCACCATCTGCTCCCAGGCCGCTCGTTTGGCCTCATCGATGGTGACCTTGAGGGCTTTCCTGGCTTGCAGGTAGCCCTCTCTTGTCCTCGCGGCATTCCCGCCTCATCGCCGGGCCCGGTAATACAACCGTCTGGCTCGGACGGAGGAGTCCCGGAGTGTCTCCAGCTCCTCCGTCCATCAGTACATGGCCCGGCGCCGGCGGGGATGGGATTAGGGCGACGTCGCATGCCGACGCCACGATGCCCACTATTTCCCCAGCCCCGTCCGCGGGGCTGGGGTCCCACTCACCTGGCCCCACATCTTGGTGCCAGGTAGCCGCAAGGACGGCCGCCCGAAACCTGTCCGAATTGAATCGATTAAGGGCCCATCTTTTGGGGAGGGGAAAGTTCCCCTTCCCTGGGCAGCGGGCCAGCACCTATGTGGGTTTGGGGAGGCGGAGGGCCCACGCTATATGTCTATGATCAGACAGCGATTCGCCCTCCGCCTCCACCCTCCATTCGTGGAACATCCCAGCGGCTGAGGGGGTGGCCCAGGTCAAATCTATGACTGAACTCCCCCTCGGCCGCACACAGGTGCTGGTTGAGCCCCTGTTCATTAACAGGAGGCCTAGCCCCGCTGCCCAGCCGACCACGGACTCGCCCCGAGGGTCCCTTTGCCGGGGACTGCAGCCCCACCCTTTCGAGTGGGCGTTGATGTCCCCGGCAATCACGACAGGTCGGGGATGGCACCTACGTACCAATTCCCCGATCCTGTCGAGGACCCTCTTCACTGGGGCGAGCTCCCCGAGACCGGCTTTATTCCTGCGGTAGGGGAGATACACCCCCACCACAGTGATGGGTCCCCAATCGACCGCCACGTACGAGGACCCGTTCTCCCTAAAAGTACAGGGAGGGGTCCCCGCCGCAGGGTTCGCCACCATGGCCACCGAGCCGTCCGGGCTGCCGAACCAGTTCGGACCTGGTACCGGCACCCAGTACGGCTCGGCAACCACCCCCAGCCCGGTGCCCAGCTCAGCCATTCTCTGCAAGCATAGATACTGAGCCCGGGCGCCGCGGCCGA